CCTCTCTCTGCTGCTGTTGCTCCCCACAGGTTTTTTTTTTCCCCTTCTTAACTCTGTTCTCCCCAAGGCACTACCCCCATGGCTGATGGGCTGGGCCTTGGCCAGCAGTGGGTCCCTCTTGGAGCTGCAAGCACTGGCCTCATCGGACATGGGGGAAGCTTCTGGCAGCTTCTCACAGAAGCCACCCCTGCAGCCCCTTGCTACCAAAACCTTGCCACACAAACTCAGTACAACTAGGAATTAACTGGCTTTCAACTGCAAAATTTATTACCTCTCTTCAAATCCTTTCTTGAAACCTTTGTAAGGGAATGCATTTTGGATTTCTTTTTTAACAAAATACTTACCTCCTCTTAAATCATATCCCATTTAAGGAGCCAGATTTACAGAGGTTTACGTACTCATTCAAATCATACCTTCAAATTCCTTTCCCCTTCCCCAAAAAAATCTGCAGACTAGTTGATCTTTCTTCCGGGACTTCAAAGAGACATACGTACCATAATTCATTGTAGCCAGCATTACTTTTTTCCCAGTATCTTGTATAAACAGACATGTCCCAGACAACCTAAGCTAACAAAAGATGGTCTACTAAACACTTGAAAATATTTCATAGTACTCTGGAAAGCTGAGATCTCACAATATTAAATGTAAAGTATCACAGTCCAAACAAAACTAACGTAAGGTCTGAAACTTCTGTTCTAACACATACCACAGGCCAGGCAGAAACGGACGAGAGAGGAAACCTGCTTGATTCTGACCATTGCACTGAACAGCATTTTCTCACTATTTCCTTGAATGTCTTCATTCACCTCCAGTTTCTTCTTTTTTCTTAGACTGTAAATTTGCTAAGGCAAGCTCACCTCACAGACAGTTGTCCAATTATTTTTTTGTTTTTAAATTAACCAACAAAAAAGGCTAACCTTGCCTTTCAGATAGTACTGTTTGTGGTCACTTACCTGCTTGGTGAATTAATTTAGTCTCATAGTAACTGTATTTCATAAAGGATATTGGTTTCCTAGTGATAAAGCAAGTGGTAAAGCAAGATTTTTCTAGTCCTTATCTATAGAAAGCTACTTTAAGGCTTGCCTTTTTCCTCACACTTCAGGAGAATAACCAACAAAATGAATAAAATCATAAGCAAAGAGAGAGAAAACAAAAACACCTTTAAAAGACATTATTGTGCCTTTTGCCCGACTATCTACTTTAACAAGCATTTATTCAAATAGGTAGCAGAATGTACACACTAATTTCAACCTCACACTCACATGTTTAGATATTTTCATTTGTTGAATTACCTTGTCTGCATCCACTTTTCCTCTGATAAATTCTTTCTTCCAAAATTCCAGTGCCTGTTCCAGAGTCAAGCCAATGCCTTTTAAGAACAGTCCATATTGCATACGGCCTCCATGACGGAGATGATGGTTATCACGTAGGGCTTTGTGCAACTGGCGCATGCAGAGAGGGAATGATTTCAGAGAAAGCTGCCAAGAGAAAAATTGTGTTTAAGGATACTGATCATTTAATTTATAGGATATATGCTTATTGTGATTATTAATTAGCTCCACTTGAAAATGCCAATGGCTGGAAGAAAAGACATGCATGTGCAGAGTGCCTTGGGACTGATGGTAACACAAGTGTGTCCATAAGCCATCAATCCAATAACCACCGCAAGAACAAAATCCGAAGGACAGAGTAATACAGGTGGTAGTATCAGGTTATCTTCAGCTACAAAGTAACGCAGGTTTAATTGCTGTGAGGAAAAGTATATCCACAGTTCCACCATTACAATGTTTCCTGCTTCTTCCTTATTTTAGCTTCTGGAATAGCAAGGTGACCTTTCTTAAGAGTTTCTGGTGGTTGGGCAAAGGAATGGGGGTTTTTTAAACATCTTTGAAAAACTACAAACAGGAGTAAAATCCACTGCAACTGATCTGTAGTTTTTTTCCCTGAAGAATGCTATTTCTTATAAAGTAAGAACTCAGAGATTAAAAAATGTAACACTGAAGTCTACCTGGGCTTTGCATCTTTATTTTTCATATCTGAGTCACGCCACGGAATTCACTACCAAAGGAACACTGTCATGGTTAAGATGGGCACCGAAAACACCAAAGATTTCTAAGATTCAGATAAAGGAGTTGTAATGTGGTTTTAGTTGTCTCTGCACCATTGATGTGGTTTTACAATCCATTTTATTTACTTCCCTGTTTTGAAAAACCCTTCTGTAAGTCAAATAAAGAGCATTGAAAAGACTAATATTACAATGTAATAATCATAAACTAAACATCATGGGTTGCAAAATTATTAAATAAGAAAATTTTGTTAAACTGTTTATAATTATGTTAAGTATTTGTAAAAGTACACAAAATTAAGCAGTAAATTAAGCAATTCATTATAGCTCCAGTCTAAATTCTGATTAGATGCATTTTCAGTTAATTCTGCTCTATTTTAAACTTTATCACAATTTCATTCAAGTAGTTCTCAAAAGTTACAAAGCAAATACGAATCAAAAAAGATAAAGGTTTTATATGTTGTCTATACATAGAGTACTTGAATTTAAAAAGTTACGTATCAACATACAATATAACTCAAACATAGAGGACTTACAGAATCGATCTGTTCTAGAGAAATTTTTCCAGTGTTCTTTTGCACACTGTAATCTGGGCCAATGTAAGAATGGCTGAAAATCAAAGCAAACAATACAGCATCATTTAAAACTGTTAAAAAAAGAAATTATTTTTAAGTTTACAAATTTTGAAAGAAACTACCAATTAAGGGCTACAAATATTTTACATCAGGCAAAAACAAGAAAACACTATTTGACAGTTAAGTGATTCAGATTTATAAAACCAGCACCAGAGTCAACATGGTAAAGAGACCCTCCCTCCCTTTATCTGAAAGGAGTAGTGAGGGATCATTCAGCATTCAGATCCCATGATGAAGCTAATGCTAAGGCTGAGACCTCTGAAGATCATCTAGTCCAACCCCCCGCTCAAAACAGAGTTGACTACAGCAGGCTGCTTAGCATCTCATCAAGCTGGGTTTCAAGTATCTCCAAGGACAGAGACTCCATAGCCTTCTGAGCAATCTGTTCCAGTGTTTGACCACCGTGGCAGTAAAAAAGCATTTTCTTACATTTAAGTGGAATTTCCTGTCTATCAGTTTGTGCATGTTGCCTGCTCACCTATCACTGAATACCACTGAAAAGAGTCTCACTTTTGTCTTCTTTACTCGCCCTTATCAGACACCTATTTATATGCGCTGGTAAGATTCATATGCACACCCTCCTGAAATTGATCTCCTCCAGGCTGAACAATTTCAGCTCTCTCAGCCTCTCCCCAGATGTACCAGGGAGCCCAGGACTGGACACAGCCCTTCAGACGTGGCCCCACAGTGCAGAGGGAAGGATCCCCTCCCTCAACCTACTGGGAGTGCTCCTCTTCATGCCACCTAGAAGGTTCTTTGCTTTCTTTGCTTCAAGAGTACACTGGTGGCTCATAGACAGTTCCTTGTCCACTGGGACCACAAGGTCCTCTTCCCCAACCCTGCTTCACAGCCGTTCAGCCCTCAGCCTACACTGGTACATGGGGTTATTCCTCCCAAGACGCAGGGCTTGGTATTTCCCTCTGAACTCCACAGGGTTCCTGTCAGCATGTTTCTCCAGCCTGTCCAAGCCCATCTGAAAGGCAGCACACACATCTGGTGTAAACCATTCGTCCCAGTTTTGTATCATCTGAAACTTGCTGAGAGCGCACTCTGTCCCATCTCCTAGGACATTTATTTAGAAGAAGCTGAACAATATAGGACCCAGTATTGATCCCTGAGGTACTCCTCTAGCAATTGGCCTCCAGCTGGTCTTAATGCTTCTGATCACAAACCTGTGACCACTGCACTTCAGCCAGTTTTCAGTCCACCTCACCATCCATTTACCCAGTCCATACTTTGGCAGTTGTCAATGAGGACATTACAAGAGACAGTGTCAAAAACCTTGCTAAAGTCAAGATAAACAACATCCACTGCTTCCCCCCGCCCCCATCTATTGGGCCTTCTATGATAAAATGACCAGCTATAAGGCTAGTCAAGCATAATTTCCCATTCACAAATCCATGCTGACCACTCATGATCACCTTCTTGTCATTCATATGTCTGGAACTGAGATGAGGCTGATCAGCCTATAGTTCTGTGGATCCTTCTCCTTACTGTTTGTGAAGGCAGGGTTCACTTTTACTTTCTTCCAGTAATCAAGAAGCTCTTCTACTTCACTATTTGTGTAGCATTTTAAACAAACAAACAAACTGATGTATCACTATGAACAACTACCGTGGGGGAAAAGTAAAAACTCAAAAGCTACTGAAGTGTACCAACAAAAAGCTGGGACGGCTTTTACCGCAGCACTGATATACAAACACACGCTGACTCCTGACAGTAGCTGTCTAGCCAAAATAGCACTGCACTTGGCATGTGCTGCCTCACCTTTCATTCATACTGCAACGAAGCTACTTCTGGGACCTGAGCTAAGTTCAGGTAACCCTACACTACAGCAGAGATGGTCAGGTGGACATTGTCAAAGTAATTTCAAATCAAATACAAGCATCTAATGCCCAGCTTTTACTTTTAAATATATAGACTTCTTGAATGAGGATATATGCAGTGCTGCAGAATAGGCCAAGAGAAATGCTTACAGCAGAACCCAACCAAATTCAAGAGCTGACAGTACAGCAGGCAATAAAGCAAACAGGGGTTTTGGATACAGCATATTGGTCCAAAAATCAGGTTGCAAAGTCTAGGTAAGAACAAATTTCTTTGTGCAAGAAGGATTTTGCAACTCACAAAGATCATTTCTTAAATCTTTTGAAGGCACATAGAGGTTAACTCCAGAAAAAAGGAATTTAGCTAAACAATGATAGAATCATAGAATCATTATGGTTGGAAGAGACCTCAAAGATCATCAAGTCCAACCGTATACCTGATGCCACCATATCTACTAGGTGTTACAGATTATTTTGTGACATTTCAATACTGTAAAGTATGAAAAGCATATAGCTAAGAGTTGATTTTACAAATTGTTGAGTTATAGATGCATTCATTTGTTCTTTAGTCTTATTTCTGGCATGCAGTGGAGCACTAGGCAAGCTTACTGTACTTAATAGATTTTTTTTCCATTATACAACAATGGATAAATAATTAAAACTGTTTGAGTTTTGTATGTCTATTACTACTGATCCTACTAAAGAAGTATCTAAATTCCCTTGTAGAATCAGATCTGTATCACTTTACTTAGGCAAACTACAAACAAAACAAGAATCAGAGGCCCAAAAATATTACAATCGAAGCATAGAACAGAAAACAAACAGCTGTTGCTCAGGCACCTTTTTTTTTTTTTTTAAACCATCTCTTAGGAAAATGACCATTCAGTCAGTTATCACATCCCAGGCTGAGTACTGGTAACTTCTTCAGCTGTTCTATCATAACCACTTTAGATCATCTGCTTATATCCTATAGTATTTATTAGAATCATATCAATACTGAAAAAAATTGCTAAGCTAAAGAAAACCACTTCTTCCTAGCATCTGCAGAAAGGATTGGCCTGGGAAGAGGAGGTCCAAAGAGAAGACACAGAAGTTTTCATATGTAATAGGCGAACAAAACAAGACTTCAGAAGTTACTGCTAAAAAGAAGACATACTCTCTGAATCTTGCTGACGATTACGTCTGGACTTGGTAGAAAACTGTACTACAAGGCCAGAAAACTCAATGCCAAGGGCAGGGGGATGGGGAGAAGAAGAAATTCCACTTTTTCAATTCTGAAAAGGTGAAATGTACTCAGCATGGTAAGCAAACAGGAAAAGTTTTTCATAAAAACTCATTTTTACATTAAAAAGTAGCACATGACCTTTGCAAGGTCAAAGTTTCTTGATACCTGACACCACTCACCAAAGAGCTGAACCCTACAAACTGCCTTAAAAGAGGGTGTTCTGAAAAAGAGCATGCTCTATCCATCCAGAATATGTGGTAGATTGGAGCTGAGCATAAAGAGGCCAGCAGTACTCATGGGTCTTGTGGCAGCTAAGCTGTTGGATTCCTGTGCCAAGGAATTCAAGGGACTAGAGATTTTGGGTTTGCAATTTTAGGTGCCAGGTCTTCTGATTTTCTACAGTAGAGATTCTTCAGGTCCCTTGATTTCATCACAAGGAAATCACACTGCTTTCTGCATGGATTGCCATTATTTTCTCTACATTTCTATTAAAAAAATCTCAACAACCTTGGAGGAAAAAGAAAATTAAGACTATACTTTGTTCTGTGAACAATGGTCCTCATTTTTTCATGTCATTAAATTTTGCCAAACAGCTTCCTACTGCTGGTTTGAAAACATATTACAACACAAACCAACAAGGCTTGTGATCACCCTCACTTTCTTCTATTCTTTGCTTCCAGTTTTAGCTCTTATTTTGGACTCATCCTTTCTTTTATTCAACATAGTTTCTGAGGTTACTTCCTGATCAAGCCCCTTACTCACCTAGAAATATCTAAAGTTCTTCCTAATTTCTTTTTGTGATTTACTGGAATGCAAGCAGCAATATCTTCAACTTTTCACTTAAAAACCAGTTTTATTTTACCTCCATATATAAATTCCTGTCTCTCTCCATTCAGCCTCAGTCACTCAAAATCTGTTTTTCTAAAATCCAAAATCTTAGTTGCCAAAGTTTTCTAAACATAGCTTGCAACTAAAGATCAATATATACATTGCACCGCTTTTGACCAAGAAGAAATCTTCACTGCATCAATGTTTCCAAGAATGGGATCTACATCTTTCAGATAAACAGCCGTAGGACCACTCTGATAAATACTGTATTATTCACAGATGTGTTGGTATATCATGAGATTTAGTGAGGGTATGAAGGGCACTTTGTAGATGTTGAGGACAGTAAATAACACCAGTCTATCAAGGTGTGCATTCTTCTTTACTTGCTTGTGAGATGAGCGTAAGTGAGAAGGAGGGTGAACATGTCTGCATGAGTACTGTGTTATCCACTAAAAAAAAATCCAGTCTTGCAAAACACTTGGTTTCTGTACCAACCTTATGAACTATCATTTGAAGACAGAATTAATAGAATCATATAAATGCTGGTTGTAAAGGATGTTAGAAGACCTTTTAGTCCCAGACCCCACTTGAAGTGGGACTACTGCCAACACTAGTCAGGTGAGTCATGGCTTTTTCTAGCTGAATCCTAAAAATCTCCACGACCCAAGATTCCACTTCTCTGGGCAATCTGCTGCACTATCATTCTAGCATAGACGTATTTCCTCATGTCCGATCTAAAACTCCCAAGCTGCTGTATGTGACCACTGTCGTTTGTTATGTCCTCTGGTACCATTAAGAATTCCAATACCATGATGTTTGTCCTTCAAACAGTTGCAGGTTGCTGTTTGATCATCCCTAAGCCTCCTCTTCACCAGACCAAAGTCAACTCAACTTCTACTTACAATTCATGCACAGGCACAGTCCTATAGTAGTTTGATGGGATTACATAGGACAGGTTTTGTCTACCTTTGCAATTATTCAATAAACAGTAGAATGTTACCATCCTGTAATGTCATTACAAAACCTATATAAACTCCTTTGAAAGCAGGGGTTGCAGAAATGTTCTTCTCATGCATTTAGACATAAAGTTTCCATTTCTATTAAATTGCTAAAGTTTTAGCAATTTAAATCTCCTTGTAGCCTACTGTGAGCATGTGAAATCCCCAAGCATAATCCTGCATCAAATATTTGAACTTTTTAACTAAAAATGTTCTCTTCTTTTTGGTCTACTACAATTAATATTAGAAAGCATCAACGAAACAGAATATGACAAAAAGTGACCTAAGTCACAGAAAAAAATATGTATTTATTCTCAAACAGTCCAATTACAAAATACATGTTATGTCCATTTAAAAAAATAAGCATGGACTAAAATATCGTTGCAGACATAATACACATTAAAATGACCTTTTCTGGGGACTAGCTAATTTACAAGTCACAAGCAGGTATGAATAGCTGCCAAAAAATGTGTGAGGTATTAACAATCAAACAATGCTCAGTAACCTTCAACTGTATGCTCTTTTCATACCTTTCTATCTAAGCTTTTGCTCTCCTGATTAAGCTCTATTGACATATGCCAAAAATAAAATACTGCTGTAAGAATTCACACAATGAAGGTAGAGGAAAGCCTACATACAACTAACTAATACTTTCCTGTCTTATGAGCAAGATGAAGCAAAAACGAAATCACAGATGCACAGAAATAAATAAAAGACCTATTTGATCACCTGTCTGTTCACTGCAAGAGCTTGTTTTTCAAATTGTAAGGTTTGATGTATTTTGTCTATTTTATAGGAACTTCCAAAAAGGCAACTCGGAATCATCTGCGTAGATTTTCAATTGGTGACAAAATGTACTGGGAACAGCCTCCCCATTTTTGCAAAAGCAAGATGGAAGTAACTTACCAGTTTTTTAACATATATTCCCAAGTTAACACAAGAATGTGCAGAAAACACCTTTTTGCATAAATGTAAGATACAGTATCCCTGTTAAAGGAGCTGATGTTAAACCAGCTTTTTTTGCAACCTTTCCTTTTCCCATATTTAAAAAAAAAAAAGCACAGAGAGGACTGCGATTGCTGTGATACTGGAGGCTGTTCCACTTACAAAATGCATAGCACATATCAAAAGAAATTTAAAATTTCTCAGTAATTACTCCTAGAGAGCACAATTTGTAAAAAGCTAACCTAATGCTCTTTAGCTTCAAGTGGAGAAAGGTATGTCACTGAGGCATATTTTTTAAAATCCCAGAAAGATGTATGGTAATAAAAACATGGGAGGTTATGGGCATTCAGAAGTATCCCCTAATCAGCTATGCAATAGTTAAATTGCAACATTTTTTTTTCATTCATTGCTCTTGAACAAAGTTCAGTTATACGTAAATAAGCAGAGATACAATGAAAGCTATTTTTCCTATTCTGACTTACACTAAAAGCAACAAAACATGAAACTGTTCTATGTAAAAAAAAATTAGGAGAATTTTTTTTAAAATCAAAATAAAATGTCAGGTTTGGGGTACAGGTACCTCAAGCAGTAGAGCAACATAGCAAATACAGAGCACGCTAACTAGATCTGCATCCTAATTCTGGTGCAGTGCTGTCACGACAGAGCCTCACCACTTCCATTTGTAATTCACCCAGCATCATTTCAGTGTTCTTAATGCAAACTTGTATGTGTTCAAAAACAGAGCTTTCATTACTGACATTCAATATTTAAGTAAATTTCTATCCTTGGAGATATTAAAAATTCAACTGAATAAATACCTGAGCAACTCAACCTAACTGGATCTGTATTGAGCAGGGGATAGATTAAATGATCTCCAGAGGTTCACTCCAAGCTAAATTATTCAATGAATGATTCTAAGCCAATGAATCTCCCTCTAATTGTACGGACTTTGTCCTCCTGCACACTACCGTAGCGAGAAAACTCTCCCGAACAATATAAAGTGGTAAAAAACAATCTCATGTATATGAAAGAGATGAGATCTATGCTTAACCTGAAGAACATCAGAAAAGTATTTTTTCTTATTCTTCAACCCTAAACACATTCAAAGAAAGCAGAAAGTTTCTATGTACTGTATACTACTAAGAGAGGGACAGACTGTTTCAGCTGTGTTGTAGAGCACTCTAAGGGTTCACATTTCAAGCTCTCTCCTGAGGTCCATTAAAAGAACAAAATAGGACTCCATTTGTCCATGTCAGTGAAATCTTCCAAAAAGATCATAGAGCATAAAATATTTGCAACAAGGGGGGCCCATACTCTGAACAGTGTAATTTGGAATCTGTTTTGTTCATAAAGAAGCTCAACAACTTTGCACTTACTATAAAAATGCTTTTACAAAAGCTACAAATATTTTCTTGTTACTTAGAAGCAACACCAGCTCTGCAAATTATGTTTCATGTAATTTATAAAGCTTTTGTTAAGTTGAAGGGATACTTTCAGGGTTCTTTTTTTCCAGTCAAAGCCAATTGCACAGATGAGGTATCTGAAAAAAAACCTGTAGCTAAAACATTCTACTAATACAATTATTTTAATCTGTATGAAAGAATACACTCATGCTTTCAGTTAACATTACCTGAGATGATTAAGCAGAGGTTGTAGTCTCTCATCAGACTGTATGGAAGGCAGCGATCGTGCTGTCAGCTAGAAGAAAACAGAAGTTCAATTAATAAAATATTAGCATCAAAAAAATTGACAAGACAAGCAGGAAGGA